AATCTGTCCAGCTTTACTTATCAAAAACTAGAAGGATAACTCACTTCTTCAGCTAAAAGGATAACTTACCCTTTAGCTGAAGAGGCAAGTTCTAATCTCAACCACTGATCTGCATCGAAAGTCGGAAATAAAAAAGGAAGATGTAATTTTGTTGCTTGCATAATAGCGAACATGGAATATACATCACAAGCATGTTATTTCAGCTTGCTGCACATTTGACTTGATAAGGTACCAGTGCCGGCTTTGGCAAATACCTTAATTACACAAACACAAGTGACTTGATAAGGTACTGGTACCATCTTTGGCAAATACCTTAATTACACAAACACAAGTGACTTGATAAGGTACCAGTACCAACTTTGGCAAATACCTTAATTACACAAACACAGGTGACTTGATAAGGTACTAGTACCAGCTTTGGCAAATACCTTAATTACACAAAGACAAACATGATTAAGCCAGTTTCCTCAGCAGCAACACACGACCATCCTTGCCTCGAGCTGCCTCTCCATGTTGAATCTTGCAATGAAGTCTTCCACTCTCCTATTCAGCTCCTCAGTAGGCAGCTCCGTTGACTCCTCACAGTCTTCTTCCTTCATCACCTCTTCTTGCAGGTCATCACCAACATTATTGTTAACCAGTGCGACGTCGCTCTCTTCTTCCTTTTCACATTGATCTAGCTGCTGCGTGGTCATGCGTACACTAACTTCTTGTTCTGCTTTGACGATCTCTTCTGCAGCATGGGTCTCTTTGATTGCATGTGTAAAAGCCACAAGCTCACGGACCACAGCATCTATGTCATCCTCACCAGTGCTCGGGGATCGAGCACCGTTCCGCGAGAGCCTGGACTCGGTGGCGAGGAAGAGGACGATGATGTTGGAGAAGATGAAGAGGCACTTGGGTGTGGCGATCGCTGAAGCAGCAGAAGGAAGTGACACAAAGAGGAAGGCCCTCAGGCAAGAACACGCATGCGGTACCCAGGTCACCATGGATAAGAGGACCAAACCAAGAAGAGCGGCTTTGGAGAAGGCCTGGATCCGGCCTGCGTAGCCTCTAGCCATGGCGGTTTTCGTGGTAAAGGGGCGATGTTGCGTTGCACTCTTGGCTTTGCAATAGCGAAAAGAAGAACGAGCATATGCATGAAAAAACACAAGGAACCTGATGGATGCACGGCACCTAACGCATGCGGGTGTGGTCTATTTATAGCTGGAGAGTAGTGGCCAAAAGTCAGTTGGTCTTTACCCCGCCGGCTAAGTTATTCCCGGTTGAAATCAATCACTTGATTCCCTGCCTTATGCTGTTCTCTGCTTTTCCCATCTTTGCAAAAAGCAGTGGGACGTGATGGTCTAGTGGTGCTTGGGGAATATGGGCTGATTGCAAGGTGTCTTGCTATGGTGGCTCTACATCATTCTCGACGCTGGACTCGGTGGAATTTATTTTTATTTTTTGAAGGCTTCATTTGATAATATCATGCGGGAAACTGAAAACCCAAATTTAGATGAAGATATTTGTTCAATGTATCTATCGAGGGATTATTCCAAATAAGATCCAATCTATCGAGATGCAAATGGTAGAGGAACAAAAGGTGTTGCTTCTGCAATGAAGATGAAGCAATTCAGCAGTGTTTGTCTCATGTCTTCTTTGTCCCTTTTGGGGTTGTGGGTTCTGTGTTGTAGCATATCCTTTCTCTGCAAGTAGTATCTCGAGTATGTTTGCTGTTGGGGAAGCAATTCAGCATTGTTCGTCTCATGTCTTCTTTGTCCCTTTTGGGGTGGTGGGTTCTGTTGTGTAGCATATCCTTTCTCTGCAAGTAGCGTCTCGAGTATGTTTGCTGTTCAGGAAGCAATTCAGAATTGTCCGTCTCATGTCTTCTTTGCCCTTTTGCGTAGTTTGGTTGATGAAGCATGTTGCAGGAGGCCGGTTTCAGTCAGTCAGCTGAAACCGTTGGTCAGGTGCTTTAGGCTTTAGGCCTTTAGCAGAGTGTTGTTTGTTGTTGTCAGGAAGCTGGCGAAATCAGGTTGATATTTTGTGTTGGCGAATGAGGAGCAAAGTAATGGGGAATAGGACTGCGCAGCTGAACTCTGTTTGCACTAATGTTTTTCTTTTCAGGTTCCAGTAAAAGGCCCGATTGCACAGGGAGATTCTTTGGATAGTCTGTCCAGGAAGGCAACAACTTGATGAGATAATTCATATGCAAACAGAAATTGCTCACTTGTGGCATTGTTTTCTATTCAACCTCGAAATCGCTGCTACTGAGCAGGTAAATATTATGAATTACTTCTTGTCTTCTGTATATGTCAGTGCATTACCTTTGTGTGTATTTCCGCCTGTGATTAATTTCCCGATCACTTCAAGAAATAATACTACTGTACCAGCCCAGGAACTTACTGATGTTGCTTGACTCATGTTCTGTTCTGTATCTTTAAGGCTGTTTTGGATAGAAAAAGAGAACTCACTAACGTTGCCAGTCTTGTTCAACTTTTTTTGTATAGATTGTTCTGTTTCCTCGTTTGTTTTTGTAATTCATCATTTTTTCAGCTAAACATATTGCTCAATAATACACCAAGGCAAGCAAGGAAATCTGAACAATGTGCGCGGCACCATAGGAGGACGGGTGAACACATGGCACACGTCCATATGCCCACCTTGCATTGAAACTGACAAACAAGATTGTTTTCGAAAGACCAGCAAATTCAAATTTAAGTGTTCAACGTAGCAAATTAAGATTAAAGTTTTTAATTAGAGAATTGATAGGGGCCGCGCGAACGCGTCCCCCCTCTATCATAAATTATGACGTCCACTCTCCCACTTGAGGAGATGGTAAGCCAGCGCATCCATCAGATGCACTGTGGACCACTAGCCTAGACCACGACTCTTCATAATCAGTCATCAACCCTGTCCAGGTAAGTTATCAAATTCATCCAGACATTGACTAGCAGATTTATTATAAGAAATATCATCTTCATCAAATATATAAAGAGAATTTATCTTTACTACCCGTGTCGGGGTGTCGAGCCATATATTTCTTCAATAGGTGGTAAATTCTTAACATCTTCAGATTTAATACCAGTTTCTTTTATAGATTTCTTTGCCTCTTGCATACCGAGGAATAGAATACCTCTCTTCTTTGGAGTTGCCTTAGGTAGGGGTGGACACTGTTAAACCGAAAAACCAAACAGAACCGAACCGAACCGTATTAACCGGTTTGCCGGTTAATTTAGTGGTCCACTTTTTGGTTTGGTGGGAAACTCTATGGTTGTTCGTTGGTGTTTGTTCGGCTTGAATTGCCCAGAAACCGTATAGACCGAACAAACCGATATCTACGACACCTCGTGTAATACCTTGTTTACGTATGCGCAACAGGGTGTCACACCTAATCTCTAGCTTAGTGTGACAAGGAACCTGACGGGTGGGTCTGGCCAACTGGCCGCCATCTGGCCCGTGTGTGTGGAGTTAAAAGAGGCTGCCTGTGGCTGAGTGAGGCATGCGTGTGTAAACTACTTTGTACCTGAACTTTTCCACTGCAATCTCACCTCCTTCCTCCTCTCCAAGTATTTCTCACCTGCCTCCTTCGTTCTCATCCTCAATCCCCTTTCCCTTTGATTTGGTGTGTTACAATTGGTATCAGAGCCAATTTCGTCGCCAATTTTTTTTCCTCCGCGCTGGATGTAGATCGGTAACATCCACCGCGCCGGTGTGAGCTGATCCGACAAGCACACCCGAAATCCGTCGCGGGGTTCAATCTCTCCAGAGCGAGGCGACGGCGCTCTGAAAGCTTCGGCAACCACGCGACAGGTGTTGCCCGCCATGGATGAGAGAAACAACATCACCAAGCTGCTCGAGTCCCTCCTCTCCAAGGTGGACGAGCAAAAGGCGGCCCATGACAAGCAGATCGAGATGCAAGCTACGTTCAACACACAGATCTCACAGGAGGTGTGTGGTCTCGCCAAGCAGAACGATCTGACCCAGGTGGATGTTGATGCGACGCGCAAGACCGTCGAGGGCTCGGCATCGTCGTCGGGCTCGGCGCATGATGAAGCACGGAGACGAGCCGGTGGTGCAGATCAAGGTCTAGTGGGGAGCAGGAGACAAGGCACCAGCAACATGGAAAGATTACAACGTCCTCCGCAAGTGATTCCCGGCCGCCGCGCTCTGGTCGGAAGAGGAAGAAGAGGCACCTTAAGGAGGGGAGAATGTCATACCTAATCTCTAGCTTAGTGTGACAAGGAACCTGACGGGTGGGTCTGGCCAGCTGGCCCGTGCGTGTAGAGTTAACAGAGGCCGCCTGTGGCTGAGCGAGGCATGCGTGTGTAAACTACTCTATATGTGAACCTTTCCACTGCAATCTCACCTCCTTCCTCCTCTCCAAGTATTCCTTACCTGCCTCCTTCATTCTCATCTTTGATCCCCTTTCCCCCTGCGATCTGGTGTGTTGTTATTGTTACACAGGGCCGTTTGATACAGGGTTGTTTTGCTGATCGGCCCATCCCAGTTGTAACTTAGGAATAACTAATGTAATCACCCCATGCTCCCACTTCCCTCGTATGAAAACCTAGCCGTCAACAGTGACACCATCAGGCGGCCCCCTCTCCAGCCTTTGGCGAACAACTCATCGTCCAGCCGGCTTCCGCGAGCCAGCAATCACCGGCAATCCTTGTTGGTTGTGTCGGCTGTCCGGCTAGTCGGTCGATCATAGGTACTTGGACCGTTGCTATGAGGTTCTAATCTTTGGATCGAAGTAGCACTACTATAAATAACACCATGCTAGCATGAATAATTTAATCTGCTTAGATTATTTTGCTATTGTTTGCATGCAGCATAATCAATAGTTGTATTCTTCCAACAAGTAGTTATAGGATTCCAAGCTCAGTTTATGACTAATATTAAGGTTACTAGCTCCTGTGATTATTTTGTGCATTCCATACAATGCAAATCACCACTCAATAATTCTTACACTTCTACTGATGGGTGCATGTACTTCGGGTTTTCAGTTAACCGAGCAAACCAAACCGATATATTTGGGTGAATATGGTTCGGTTTCTAAATTTTGTGTGATTATTTTGGTTTCCATTTCTCCAAAACCAAAATTATGAAAAACCGGATAAACCGAACCGTATTAACCATATAAACTGAACTCTCAAGACTACGCTTAGGTGGTAATTCAGGAAGTGTCCAATCATTATCATTTCTCAATATATTATTCAATAGTTCTTCAGTCTGTCCAATAGTTCGTTCACTGAAAAACAACAGCACAACTATCTAGTTAGTCCCTAGAAGCATCGATTAGTCCATTATAAAAGATATCAAGTACTTATTTTTTCTTGAGAGGATGATCATGCAAAACGTTAAGTAATTGGAGAAGCCTTAACCAAGCTTGAGGGAGATTCTCCTTTTCAATTTGCAAAAAGTTAAATATTTCCTATAAGGCAGCTTGTTTCTTATACGCAGAAAAATATTTTTTAGAGAAGTAATATATATCATATATCTCGAGGACTGTGCAAACAACCAGGAGCAAGAATATTAAATCACTTTTTAGCATCATCTTTTAATGGAAAATGAAACAACTTAAGAATATAGTAATAGCGATTTTTTTCATCATGAGCAAATATGATGACTATATCATTTAATTTAGTAAAGTGTGTCACAACAGTTTCAGTTTCATAACCATGAAAATGATTAGATTCAACCAAAGTAATTTACTCAGGATCGACAGAGAATTCATAATCCTTATCGGTAACAAAAATAGAAGAAGTAGCAAATTTAGTATCATATTTCATTTTCTCCGTCATAGATTTTTCTTTAAGCCTACTCATTAATTTCTTAACACCATCTCTATCATTAGAAGCAAGAATTTTTTTAGCTATCTCCCCGTTAATAATATAACTCTCAGGTATTCCAACTCTAGTAGGAGAGCTAGGCATAATAGGAGAATCATAATTTTCATCAGTTTCAGCAATTTCAAGTTCTTTAGATTTAGCAAGTTGTTCATCAAGAAATTCACCCAGTGGCACAGTATCATGAAGCAAAATACTAGCATCATCACAAGTTTCATTTATAGCAG